ATGTGGGTCTCTGTCTCTGTCTCCTTTCATCGCCTGATGAAGGTTAATATTCAGGAGGATGCCTATATGTTTTTCTTTGGGTTCTCCTTCTTATTTAGCTTCTCTAAGAACCCGAATTATACATGCCCCCCCCTTTTCATTCTGCTCTCTTTCCCCCCTTTCTTCCTACAGCTTACAATGTTCTTTTAATTACCAACACCTAGTAAGCTAGGGACTCTAGTGGCCTGTGGAAATCCTGGGTGAGCATTGTTCTCCACGGAACCTGTGGTGTGTGTGTGTGTGTATTTGTGTGTGTGTGCGCGCAATATGTGTGAAGTATATGTATAAGAAATGTGTGTGTAAAATGTGTGTGTGTTATATGTGTGGGGTGTGTGCTATGTGTGCGGGGTATGTGTTTGAGATGTGTGTAATGTGTGAGTGTGTATGTGGGTTGTGTGTCTGTATATTTTATATGTGTGGGGTGTGTACTACGTGTGTGGTATATGTGTGTGCTTGAGATGTGTGTGTGTGTAATGTGTGAGTGTGTGTGTTATATATGTAGTATGTGTGGTGTTTGTATATGTGTGGTGTGTGTGCTATGTGTGTGTTTGAGATATGTGTGTGTAATGTGTGAGTGTGTGTGTTATATGTGTGGTAGCTGTGTATGTGTGGTGTGTGTGTAAGATGTGTGTATGGTGTGTGTGTGAGATATGTGTGTGTGGTATGTGTGTAGGGTGTGTGTGGTGTGTGTGTGTAAGATATGTGTGTGTGGTATGTGTGTAGGGTGTGTGTGGTGTGTGTATTTGGTGTATGTTGAGACACGTACCTATGTAAGTGAATCAGGTGGTTGACTGTGTACATGTGATGTGCATGTGTGGTATACACATGCTTACCTGTGTGCTGTGTGCACATGTGTGAGCTATGCGCACAGATGCATTGGCATGTGGTATGCATGACTATGCACAGGTTTGTAGACATGTTTGTGCCCATGTATATACTTGCGTGCAGAAGGAGACAAGAGGTGGCTGTGCAGCGTGGGGAAGCTCCAGGTTGCGCTGCTTCTCAGTTTCACCGGCCACCGGTGGGAGACCTACCACTCACCTCATACACATCCAGAAATCCTGGTGGGGGGGGGCGTGTGCTCCCAGAAACGGTCCACTTCTGTTCTCTTGCTGGTGGTTTGTCATTATTAATGCAGGTAGCAATTACCCATTTGGAATATTTGGTGAGTAATTAGCTTGCCCAGTGGAGATGGCAGGATGAAGAATGTGTCGATCTGACCTGATCTACTTTTCCAGTTCCCTGGGGAGGGCTGGGGGGGGTCAGGGGATGACAGAGCACTGGCGGGGGACTGAAGAGAAATGAGTTCAGAGCTGAGGATGCCCTGTAGTTGCCGGGGTCCCAGCTGCAGATCCCTGGGAAGATAAAAATAGCCTCCTGCTTTGGTTTGGCCCCGGCTGCTGTGTTACGTGCCACTTCCTCTGTGGGTGAAGCTCTTGGCTGTCTGCCCGAGAATGCAGGGCATAGTCAGAGTCCCGGTTGGACCAGCCCTCTGGGTGCAGTGTCACTGGTTGCAGGGAGCTGTGTCCTTGTCATCCCAGGATAACCTGAACCAGGACTGCAGAGGCAGGATGCTTACGGTGGAGGTCTCCCAAGACCACAAGAGGAAGGGGAAAGGCGGGGAATGGGCTCTGAGGCTTGCCCGAGCTGGCCCGTGATGCATATCGGTTCTTATCAGTCACGGGTCCGAAGAGTTGGTGACTCACTCACTAAGGTGTCACTCGAGGAGGACTCAATATGCAGGTGGGTAAGATGTCCGTCTAGGTGAACCCACTGTAGGTATGAGAACCCCATGCCTGTGGAGAAGTGTTTCAGAGAATGGCTCTGCCTTTCCCGGTGTTAGGGATGTGTTGGCACCCAGGCCCTGCAGATCACAGGCCCATTCATGGGAGAATGCCTCAGGTACCTTCCTCTAGACAGACACTGGCTTTGTTTAGGCTGCTTGGGGTGTATAGCTTCCAAAATGTGCCCAAGTCAAGTGAGGAGGCTCCAGGCACCATTCATGGTGGGTTCTGGAACCTCTTTGCGTGTGGACCAGCTTGGCCACCATATAACACTTGCTGCACATGGACACAGGTCATCTCCTGTCATTTCATGCTGGCATCTATGTGGGTCCTTGACATTCAGCGGTCTGTCTATGCAGCTGGGGCCAGCTCTACCGAGATGAGGGTTTGACGGGGTCATTTGCACACAGTTGTGTTGGCTCTGCCTTGCTGCCGCCTGTAATTCAAGGCCAAGGACCTTGCCTTCTGTCGAAGTGGGGTTTCCCCAGGGCTCAGGCTTGTGCCCTGCCCTAGAGGCCAGCCAGTGCCTGATCACGTGTTCAGGTTGCTTTCTCCGCAGCTGCAGTTGTGTGCAGTAAGGCTTGAGCAGAGTGCGGTGGCTCCGAGTTGGGACAACCCTGAGTCCTGTTCTTCTGGTTCCCTGTGACCTCGCACTAGGCCCTGGAACTTTTGAGTCACGCCGTCGGAAGATGTGGTGTCTGTCTGGGGCTGGACTCCTTGAGTGTTTGCCACAGGACAAACCAGATGCTCAGGATGAACAGGCGTCGCTGGAGAAGAGCCCACGGGTGATGACCTTGTGGCCCTCAGCCTGGACAAGTAGCAGTGAGTCTCCCTTTAGGTCCCAGGAACCACAGGGAGAGGACCCAACTTTGACAGGAGCTGTAGGACACAAGGAAGTCCCTGGGGGAATAGGCAGCGCTGCAGGGCTCTGAACTGAGGTCAAGGATGACCCCAGGGACTTTCCAAGGTATTCTAGGAAGGCATTTAAATAGTGCTATCACAGAAGACCTCTAAGGCAGGAGTGGCCATCTGTGAGGTGTGCTGCGGCTCCTCCAGGTCACCTGTGACAATAGCTGGGGAACCAGCGCTGGCCAAGCCTAGCCTACAGTTCCCTTCAGCTGTCTTGGGAGACACAAAAAACGCCAGGTGCAGGCTCTCCGGTTAGAATTTCCATGTACATTACCTGGGGCTTTTCTGTCCAGCCCACCCCCTCCCCCACCTCCAAGGAGGGCGTCATTCCCAAACCTATTGGGCCGAGGCTCTTTCCAGGGGTGTCCTCTTGTCCCATGTTGGTGTAACAAGTTGGTGGCAGGTCTGCTACATACTAGAGATAGACTGCCCAGCTTATGCATGAGGCGTGGGATCCCCAAAAACTAACCTACAAGGACAGAGCCATGTGACAGTGGTGGGGTCAGAAATCCTGGGTCTAAAGCCAGTCATAAGCAGAGCAGCCTGGGGAAAGTCAAGCTACCTCCTTTGTGTCTTCTGAACACAAGGGCAGACATTGCTTTCTCAAAGTCTGAGTGCGGCGACCAAACAAGCAGGGAGGACAAAGGCTGGTGCTTGTTGTGCTGCAGGTAAGAATGAAATAGGGCACCTGTACCACTTCCACTGCGGAGAGGTTCAGGAAACCTCACTGAAGAGAGGGGAGCTAGGATCGAAGAGCTGGAGGATGGAGACGACGGCCATGAAACAGCAACCCTAGACATACAGTAGCTATGGCTACCTACATAAGACTCCATAAAGGGTGGGTCCAGGGGGCTCCATTCCTACCCAAGGAGCTGGTGACTATTACTGGTCACTGGAAGGGGTGGTCTTTATCTATAAGGGTTTAGTCCCTGGGAAATGAGGGAAGAAGAAAGGGTTCTGAGGGAAAGGAAGGGAGATGCCAGATGGTAACGGGGGTGAACCTGATCACAACATATTATATACATGTGTGTGTGTAACTGTCATAAACAAAGAAAAGGGGGAGCAGATCAATGAGAACAGAAGAATTATTAGTAACATAGCTCAAATAGGTGTCTGCTCCTTGCTCAGCAGATCACCCAAGAAGCAGTCCACTCAATGAGCCCAGAATTCTCACAACACAGAAAGCATGCTTATCATTCTTTTCATTGATGAGAAACCAGACAAGACGACAACCATGTCCATCTTGTTCTCTGCTTGTGCCTGGTCCATCACATACCAGAGCCGTGGCGGACACTCGGGATACATGTTCATGGGATACATGAATGAGGAGATTATCCATACAGGCTGCCTAGAGGAAGGGACATGGACACCGAGACTTGCAGCATGGGGTCTGTTTGGATTGGGTGGGAGGAGTGCCTGGTGAGCGGCAGGATGAGAGACGTGACATACCTCACCAGAGGTAGATGGTTGCCAATTGGCAAGCTGGCCAGAGTCCTGGGGGCTTTGCTTTGTCTGAGGCTGTGTGCTTGGGTGCGCTGAGGGCTTCAGAGGAACGAAACCAAGATGGCATGTTTGTTCACCAAACATTTACTTACCTTGTGTCTGTCCTGTCTGTAGCTCCACGAAGGCCACTCTGAGGCCACAGAGGGTGCTGCACAGCTAACACGGTGGGCCTCAGGCTGGAATGGAAAGACTTTGGCAGTACGCTGGGGCGTGGGGCAGGGAGGAGCTGCACGCGGCATGAGGCAGATGTCAGAGTCGGTGTCAGGCAGCTGAGGCTCCAGGTGGCACAGATGCTGCCTGGGGAGATGAGGGAGACTGTGCACGGACGCTGTGGGGGAAGCGGCCCTGGGGATGTGAGAGTCTGTCACGGGACAGCTGCTGTCACAGGACAGATGGTCCAGCCTCCGTTTGCACTCATGACTTCGGCACTGTCTGAGGTTCCCAAGGAAGTGCATGGTTTCTGAGGCTCATCCATCCAGAACTGGCCTTGACAGGGGCCCTTTAATTTTATGGGACGGTTTGAGGTTCCTAGGCAATGCTCCTGTAGGTTCTCTAGAAGCACTTCTAAGCACCGAAGTTGCAAACCCCTCAAAGTCCATGCCAAGGTGGCGGAAGTGGCACCAAGAGGTGTGTTCCTACACTGCTCACTTTCTCCCAGTCCTGCGCGGAGCCACGAGAAACACTTTAGAGATAAGCAGAACCTTCCCCCTGGACCTGGTTCCCTCCTCGATGATTGACAGTTCTTACTTTTTGTTCTGTTGTTTAGTTTCAATTTTGTGTTATCCTGCTAGTTGGAGAAAGAAACTCAGAGCAATTATGTGGCTACTGTTACTAATTTTGAGACTGGGGTGGGGGGTGAGGGGATGTGGGGGGGTCTCACTGTATAGTCCTGCCGGCCTGGAACCCACTGTGTAGGCCAGGCTGTCCTTGAACTCACAGAGCTGGTGAGATGGGTTACACAAGTATAGAAATATATGAGTTATCATGAATTAAATGTGGGGTGAAAAATATCAAGGAGACACTTTGTTCAAACTTGTCGTTTATGGTTGCCCTGTGGACACATGAGCATGCAGGTCTCAGCTGCCAGCGAGGGCCCCTCAGGTCTGCCTGACTCAAGAGCTACCAATCCAGGGCTTCTGTTTTAGTGATGTGCGCTTTGGAGCTGGGATGTGGCTCAGTGGGTGGACTGCTTCTAGCCCTGAATTCCATCTCCAGCTGTGAGTAAACCAGCTGAGGTGATAAGTCCTTGTAATTCTTGGGCTTGGGAATATCAGGACTTCAAGGTCATCCTTGGTAGTCTGGACTTTAGGAGACCCTGTCTCAACAAAAACAAATTTTAAAAAAATGAAAAAAAGAACAAGACAAGAAAAACATGTTTTTGAGCAGGTGCCAAGTCACTGGGAATAAGAAGATTTTTTTTTTTAGATCAATCTTCTGATGTGCCTGCTGGCAGTGAATATCCATGGCTCTGTGTGCAGGTTGTCATGGTGGCAAAAGGAGCCAGACCTGAGTGCCCTGCAGTTGGTTGCAGGGCAATGGGGCAATTTGACCTTTGTACCTGACCCAAAGTTCCCAAGCCCTGTAGGCTACCATGGCCTGGCTCTTACATGGCTGGGGTAGGCTCAGTGTTCTCGCAAGGACTCCCAGCTTTCAGGGTGTGAGGTGAAGAAGTGACTGATTTGCTCTGGGGGTGTTGAGGAGAGAGAAAGACGACTGTGCTAGGACTTACGAAGTGGACTCAAAACGTGGCACGGACTAGGCCTTTGCTGGGCAATTCTTGTGGCTGTCTACACTTAACCCCCACCCCGGCCCCAGATCAGGTCTGTAGGCAGCACTATTCTCCACACAGTGTGTCCTTCATTCCTGCATGTGCGGCCCTGCTTTCTCCACCTGCAGGTCAGGTCCGTGCTCACTGCCACGCTGCAAGTATGCACATACATACGCATGCACGCATGCACACATGCCATTCATTACTGCATGCAATCTGCTCTCCTCCACCCTGCACGCCACACCCGGGCAGTGTGTCTTCCTGCTAGAATGAGCACCTGCTAGAATGGACCTTTGCACTCAGATCTTCCTCATGAACGGAAAACACACTGAGCCCAGTCTGCCAGGTGCCCTGGGCTCCACTCTGTTGCGAATGTCTCTCAGGGAGTGATGCTGGGGAAGCTAGTCATGAGATTTGTGGTCATTTAAGCCTAGATTGCAGAAGATTGCATTGGCTCTCATTCTGGGATCTTTCTTGTCTGGTTTTGAATTTCCTTGGGAAATATTAAAATGCAGCATCTGGGTGCTTGCTTTTTATTTATTTTTGTCATGGCATTCTCTAAATAGTAAGGAGTCTCCTGGGACTCTCTTGTCAAATAGCTGCCTCGTTGACTACCTGCAGTCCGGGTGGCCAAGGGCTAGGCTCTGATCTCTTCAAAGGACCCAAGAAGAGCCAGTTTCCAGAAGAATGGACTCTGTCTACTGGCACTCGCACCAGGCACGTTCTGGAGCGCGCCATCTCTCATTTCTCCTTTTCCATCCAGGAAGATGCCAACTGATCGCATGCTGTCCTCACAGTGATCCCTAGGAAGAGCACAGGCGCCACAGACTCTCGGCCCAGTGTTGCATCCAAAGCGTTCTCTTGCCTTGTGCATCCAGGCAGAGTGTGGACACAGAGCTGACTGACTCATGTCTTCAAGAGGGTCGTAGGCCATGGTGTGCAGCCCCTGGAACTAAGGAACAGAGGCAGAGATGTTTCTTGAGCTCTTCCGTGCATCCAGAACCTTGCCAGGGCATGCCAACATGACCTCACGATGACAGCAGGCAGGGTACACGTGTAGGCAGAGCTGGGGCTGGGCTGGTGGTAAGATCCACGAGAGCAGCTATGTGGAAGGGGGAGCCAGAGTGCACTGGTCCAAGGTTCCAGTTGTTGACTCCTCTATGGGTTAAAGCAGCCACTTCAGGGAGCCTGACTTGGGGGTATACAGCTAGTGCATGGGCCAGGTAGTGTTGTTTCCCAGAGGACTGGAGAGCTTCCCCTCCTCTTTCTCATCCCCCTCCCCTGCCAAGCCTTCCTTACCTCCCTTTCTCTTTCCCTACCCTTGTCCTTGACCCCCTTGTCTATATCTTGCTTATGGAACAGGAAGTGGACTGAGACACTGGGTGGTATTTCTAGCATATGAGAACTCAAAGCCCGCCCCCACAGTGACACACTTCCCCCCAACAAGACCACACCTACACCAACAAAGCCACGTCTCCTAATAAGGCCACCCCCTATAAGCTTATGATGGCCAATTACATTCAAACTACCACAAGATCCTACACAAGAAACCAGGGCACACCCAGGGTAACTAACCACTGAGGGCATTGCCAACTACACCTGTGACTCAGCTCCCTGGGATCTGAAAGATAAAACCAAAATG